GGAGGCAAGGAGGCCCCAGCTTCAAGGGGGCTGTGGGTGCTGCCACTGGGGATGGAAGAGCTGCCGCTTCCCTGGGGGTGGCCAAGGTGAGTTAATTGCTGCTAGCACCATTGGCAGCACAGCGTGCTGGAAGCAACGGTCTCCCAAAGCCAGGAGGAGCTACTTCATCCCCAACTCTGAGGACATGGAGCATCATCTTGCTCTTTTTTTGTGACTGTAGATGGATGGGACATGTTTCCAAGCAGATGTGGTACTCGATGGCTTGGAGCCATGGGTCTCGGTACTAGTCCTCAGGTCTTTCATTACCAATGCTGCATGACGCACTTGGAAGGTAAGTGATTGAGCGTGGAGATAAACCCACCCTTCCAGGTCTGCTGAGCAGTGTTTTGCTTCTGGCTTCTGTAAAGTTAATTGGTTTAGAGTTTCCAGGAACAAATGAAGGAGAAAAACACTCTCCTGGTGTGCGGGATCATTGAATGCTCTCTGGTGAGTTATAATTGCAAATCATGTTTTGAAATTGCATTAACCAATTATTCATTGTTGTTGTTATGCCCTGCCACATGACAGCATGTGCCACGATGGAGGCAGCAGTCAAGGGCAAGAGAGGAGGCCAGGTAGCCTCCTTCCAGGGTAGATGTCTGCTGGCTGAGATGCTGCCTTGGTGCACCTGGGGTGACCACATCCACAGAGAAGGTGTCTCATGGGAGACTGTGTCCTCATTGATGGCCTGGTGGGAGGAATATTCGCGTGCTGTTTACAGCCTGGGGCAGAGCTGAGCTCTCCCTGGTAAGGAAAGGTGCTCTTCTGTGCCACCTGGCCTAGAAGTCCTTCTAGCCAGCTCTGCCCCAGGGCCATGCAACACTTGGGTGCCGTTCATGTGTATCCCCTTCTTCCCGCCAGAGGCCTTCCCAGCCCATTTTGTGCCTGCCTGCCTGGCTCGGTCCCCAGTATGCCCTGCTCTGACAGCACGGCACCAGCGCTGGGGGCACAGTTGGTGCCCAGGGATGGGGATGCAGCTGGTCTGTGGTGATGACGATTTCAGAGGCCTTTGCAGAGTGTTGCAGCAATGCCTATCCTGGTACCAGGGACCAGAGGCACCCACTGATGTGTTCCCAGCACAGATAAGCACCAGGCGGTGTTTTGCTCAAGAGGGCATGGGGGAAAGCTTTGCTGGGCTGCAAATATAATCATTATCTCTACCACGTCTTTTCTCAATCTCTAGTCTCAGCCCTGGGAACGATGGACTGCAGAGGCAGCAACTGCAGAGCCAGGCTGGGCTCGGATGATGAAACTGAGTGTGACAAGGGAATGTGCCCGAGCCAGCCCGCAGCCCCTGGCAGCAGAGTTGCCAGCTTGAGACGCCCTGCCCTTCATGGCTGAGGATCTGCAGAGATACTCCATCCCGGCCTGCCTTGTCTCGTGCTGAACAGGACAGCTCTCAAGGGCAAGGGGCTTTATGGGCTCATTTTAATCTGCTCAATCTCAGAGCAAAGCTGAATGATAAAAAAAAAAGTGACACTTTCTGCTGGGGGAATTGGTGAAAAGGCAAATAGCAAGGAGGTTGGCTGCAGGTGAGGACTGGAGCGAGCTGGTGCACAGGGTGTCTGTGCTGGCTGTGGATCTGGCTCTCACCCTCCCCTCCCCGACGTGGCACTGCCACCATTTGTGGGGCAGGATGCTGCAGGCAGGGCATACTGCACTCCCCCAAAGGGCTCCTCTCATCTGGGAATCCAGCGTCAAACTTTCCAGCAGGCTGGAGAAAACCACACGGCTGTGATTTCACAACTCACTGGAGCCCAGGAACAGGCCGAACACCCAGAAAGCTGGTAGAAGGGACGGTGGCGAAGGGAGTTGTGGAGCTGCAAATTGCCCTGAGCTGCGCTGGAGGAGCCGTGGGCTGCTCACACCGTCGACTTGGCGCTTTGAGGGCCGTGAGGAGGATTTTCCAGCACTGAAACAACAGCACGTCTCTTTCTCTCCTAGGCGGCTCCGACTGCAGCGGTTTCCTGCCTGCTGTGCGCACCGTGGAGGAGGCTGCAGCGAGGAGTGAGGGGAGCAGCCCCTGTGCGCCAGCCACCCTTGGCTCCCCTCCTGCATGACCAGCACAGCCCCGGGTCCTGCTGCGAGGGGCCGGAGCTGCCGTGCAGGGTGCAGGACAGCTCTGGTGTGGGGCAGCTGGGAGAGGGGCTGCCGTGTGGGTGCTGGTCCCGAGTGCTGGCTATGGGGAGACAGGGACCCATCGGCATGGGTTCCAGCCCCATGGGCTGTGAGCAGTGACTGTGTGGTGGTGCAGCATGCCAGGACCCAACCCCAGGCACATTCAATTAGTCCTTCTCTGCCTTCTCCTTTCCTTTTCACTGTCTTGATTTTCCACAAAATTTCAGTTGGGCACAGTGGGGGACAGCATTTGCCCAGCTGGAAAGGAGGAAAGATGGAGAAGTGTAATAAACACTGGAGGACAAGAGAAGGGATGATGTAAAAGGAGCATCACTTCATTTTTTCCAAAAGAAGAGAGGGGATGGATGGGATTTGGAAGCTGGAGAGAACGGGGCAGACTTACGACCCACTGGGCTGGAAACGCTTGCCCCATGGACAGGCAAGCCCCGCATCGTGCCTTCCCATCCTGCCCACCCCCTGCATGCATGAAACCCCAACACACTGGTGCCAAGCTTAGCCCGCAGCCCGCTACGTGGCCTGTGGCTCCTAGTGGGTGCACCCTGGGCACCGCAGGGCCACAATGCTGTGTTGGGTGTCTCCAGCTCCAGCCACATCTGCTGTGTTTGCTTACTGGGTGGCTGCTCTCAGCCTCTTTTTACAACGCCCAGCTGAGGTGTGTTGCTGCCTTTCCCCAGGAAGTCTCTGAAACAGTGCCACGTGGCTTGCTGGCGCCCACTCTCGTCAGGGCAGGGAAGGGGTGCACACCGGTGCTGGGCTGATGGATTTAGCTGAGCGCCGCCATGCCTGTGGCTCTGGGAGTCTCTGCAGCCCCCCCTTGCTGGCACTGCCAAACCTGGCTGCCTCCGGTCCTCCGGCATTCCAGCCAGCGCTGGTTCAGCACTTACGCATGATGCTGTTATTAGAAATTAGTTAATGGATGTCTCCAGCCAAATGAGAACGGTAGTAACAGGAGCCGTGCTATTGTTGGGTGCAAGAGCACAAGGGCAGGACTTGCCTTAGCAGCGCACTGAATATTTAACATCCTACTACACCCAGGCGAGAGAGCGCTGTTGCTCCCTGCTCTTTGTGGGGGCGAGGGGAGATTTTTCTCCTTCCAACCAGATTGCAACTTTCTCGGCCAGTCAGTGAGAGTATTTCCATCCCGGCCTGCCTGCCCTTCTCTGCCGAGGAGCTTCACAAGGATTTATTAAAGATATGTTTAACACAAATAAAGCAACCCAGCAACGCTCGGTGCTGTCCTGCCAATGTGCAACAGGAGCAGTGAATGCCTGGTCTGTCCCACACGCTGGGTTTCCTACTAGGTCCTGCTCTGTGTGGGGCTGGGAGCCAAGTGGGCGAGCAGACCTGGCAAAGGTCGTGAGGGGAGAGAGATGCACACACATTAGGTTAGGGACAGGGCACACGGGACAGCATCCAGCGCTCTGTGCTGGGGCCAGGAGGTGAGTTTTGGAGGAGTAACATGGTGACTCGTTGGCAAAGCTGTGCATGAAGAGGCATTGAAGGATAAATCCCAAAAGAAAACCAGCCTCTTGGCTCTGATGGCGCAGGGCCTGCCATTATGCCATTTAAATCCCCATCTTGGTGCAGTGTAAACCTGGTGAATTTTCCTCCTAAAGAAAACCCCTTCTCCAGGCAGGCACGGATAAGTAACGATCTCCCTTGCGCTTGCAGCAAAGGCAGGATGGCCACAAGCCCTCGCCAACTGCAGGACCTACCTACAGGTAGGAAGGAGGTGGCTTTCATGTAACAGCCCCTTAGAAGAAGGACAGGAGATGTACAAAAAAAATCGCTGCTGTCTTGCCAAGAACTGTTGTCGAGGAGCACCTTCATCCACCCTGGCCAAAACTCATCCCTGGCTGTAGGATCCTGGCAGAGTGGGGCACGGTGCTCCAGGAAGGTTCCTGGGGTTTAGCACACCCAGAGTGTGAGCAGGCAGAGATTTACTGGGTTTTATACCTTGTCCAGTGCTTGGGACCATCATGCTAGAAACAGCAGCTGGTTTACCCCAGAGTTCCTGGCTAAAGAGCTCTTCCTTCAATATGTGGTGATGCTCTTTAGAGAAACAGGTGAAAATTTCCCATTTGGGGCACCTTCTTTAGGGACAGAGCTAAAAATTTTGACTGACTCTTCCACACAAAAATCAACTGGGGCCGAACATGTTAGCTCAAGTGGGGCAGTCACGCAGAGACCAGAGGGGGAGACTGGAGTCTCCCTGACACTCCCAATCGTTTGGGGATGGACAAGCTCCCACTCTGCTGATTTGCATCTCCTGTAATGTGGTGCCAGGGAGGCTGCTGTTCAGGACTAACCGTGTCCTGCTGGCGTTGACAGTAAGGCAGACTGGGCCTGGGGGGAGCTGACATCTCCTCCAGGAGCCACAGACCGGGCAGCAGAGGTGGGCTATTTAACACCTGGGGGTACAGCTTGATCTTTTTAGGCTGAGGAGACAGCCCAGCCCCAATGTGGTCAGAGGGTTGCAGGCAAAGATCCTCCTCCTCTTCTGGGTGTGCTGGGCCTCCTCCACCCCTTCCCCTTACTAGGTTTATTTGCCCAGAGAAATGTAGCGCGCAGGCTTGACATCTGCTATATTTAGACATTCAGTTAGATTAGAACAACTGAAATAGCCCCATGGCTTTTAATGCCAACTGCCAACGTTTAATACCCCCTAGAAAGCTCAGGGCTGCCAGGGGTGGCAATGCTGGCTGGGAGCTCT